TCTCTATTAGTCTCTGGGGAATGACGGTATTAAACGCTGAGCTGAAATCAATGTACAGGATTCTAGCGTAGATGTCTTTATTTTCCAGGTGGGTGATGATGAGTGCAAGGTGGTGGATATTGCATCCTCTGTGGAGCGGGTGGGACGGTAAGTGAACTGAAGGGGCTCAAGCTATGCACCAAGGCTGGCTGTGATGTGTGGTTTGACGAACTGTTCAAAACACTTCATCACAATTGGTGTCAGGGTGATAGTCATTCAGACAGGCTACAACTGATTTCTTTGCCACGGGAACAATGGTGGATGTTTTGAAGTATCTGGGGACAATGGCCTGAATGAGGGAGATGTTGAAAATGTCAGTCAGCTTGTCAGCGCAGACTCTGAGCACACGTCCTGGGATGATGTCCGGTTCTGTCGCTTTTCGTGGGTTGACCCTGGCCAGGGTCCTCCATGTGTCTGCTGCGTTGATGGTGAAAGCTGGCTCAACAGATGAAGGAGAAGGACCAGCCCTCACTCTGTTTCCTTTATTTTGTCTTTTTTTGTTGTTTCCTTAGTTTGTGAAAGGCAAAGACAGCTCTCAAACAGTCAGGCCATGTGGTCATCAGCTTCCATGTTGTCATTCCGACTCCAACCCTCCCTTTGTTTCTGGAGCTTTCCTGTTCAGTGGAAGTCCAGTGGATTCTCCTGGTGAAAGTCTTTTGATTTGATGTAGTGGCTATTCCTGAGTCAATATAGTCATTGTGGTGGCTGTGCAGAAACGTCTGACTCGACACATCCTAGAAAAAGAAAACAGGGAAAACGGTGTCCAACAACAATGTCCAAAACAATGTTTTGAAAATAAGGCACTATTTATTGTAAAATTTCTTTAAAGCTCAGAAACAAAAAGGCTTAGGATGTTAAAGATAAACTCAGGATGAATGGGGCCACAGGCCTTGGATGTGAGTTGTGGTCAAAAGACTGTCTCTGTCTGGCAGGCCACACCTTCCTGGCAGTCTCCCATGCTTTTGTCCCCATCCTTCAGCCACTTGATGGGGTTAACTCAAGAAGAACAGAAATGATTTTTTTTTTAAAAAGGAAAACAATCATCCTGGCTCCTATAAATACTGTAACATACTTGCCATTCAGCCGATTTCTTAATTAATAGTAAATAACTTAATTAAAAATAAATAATTTGAACAAGGTCCAACCTGATAATGTGAATAATATTAGTATTAGTAATTAGTATTGTGCTCCAATTTATTTCAGTCACACAACAACATTTAGTAGTGCACCTCCAAATGGATCGGTGCTAGTTCCTGCTCCCTCCTCCATCCCTTCACTTTGTTGTTCATGTTCACCTGTTCGTAGAGTCTGTTTGAGTATGAGTATTTAATCATTTTTATTGCTAGGTCACCTGTCAAATATTACATGTCTCATCAACTATCTTTTTTAAAGTAATCCTCCTGTGGACTCATCACCTGCAGAGGGAGTCATGGGGGTCAGGTGCAGAGCGGACTGGGTGGCGGTTGAGGGGGGCTGCCTCAATGGCCTGGTCCGCATACACAGCCTCTGGTTGTCGGGATGTGGAATGTCACCTCGCTGGGGCAGAAGGAGCCTGAGCTTGTGTGGGAGGTTGAGCGATATCGGCTAGATATAGTTGGCCTCAACTCCACGCACAGCTAGGGCTCTGGAACCCAACTCCTGGAAAGAGGCTGGACGCTCAATTTCTCTGGCGTTGCCCGTGGGGTGAGGCGGCGGGCTAGAGTGGGCTTGCTCATTGCCCCCCAGCTCAGCCGCTACATGTTGGAGTTTACCCCGGTGAATGAGAGGACCGCGTCCCTACGCCTTCGGGTTGGGGACAGGTCTCTCACTGTTGTCTCGGCCTACGGGCCCAACAGCAGTGCAGAGTACCCGGCCTTCTTGGAGTCACTGGGAGGGGTACTAGATAGTGCCCCGACTGGGGACTCCTTTGTTCTATTGGGGGACTTCAATGCCCACGTGGGCAACGACAGTGAGACCTGGAGAGGGGTGATCGGGAGGAACGGCCTCCCCGATCTGAACCCGAGTGGTGTTCTGTTGTTGGACTTTTGTGCTAGTCACAGTTTGTCCATCATGAACACCATGTTCAAGCACAAGTGTGTCCACATGTGCACGTGGCACCAGGACACCCTAGGCCGGAGGTCAATGATCGACTTTGTAGTTGTATTATCAGACCTCCGGCCGCGTGTCTCGGACACTCGGGTAAAGACAGGGGCAGAGCTGTCCACCGATGACCACCTGGTGGTGAGTTGAACCCGCTGGCAGGGTAAGAAGCTGGTCAGACCTAGCAGACCTATGCGTATCGTGAGGGTCTGTTGGGACGTCTGGTGGAACCCTCTGTCAGCAAGGTTTTGAACTCCCACCTCTGGGAGAGCTTCTCCCAGATTCTGAGGGAGATTGGAGACATGGAGGCTGAGTGGTCCATGTTCTCCTCCTCCATTGTCGCCGCGGCCGCTCGTAGCTGTGGTCGTAAGGTCTCTTGTGCCTGTCGCGGCGGCAATCCCCGAACCCAGTGTTGGCAGCCAGAAGTAAGGGATGCTGTCAAGCTGAAGAAGGAGTCCTACCTGTCATTTTTGGCTTGTGAGACTCCTGAGGCAGCTGACAGGTACCGGCAGGCCAAGCGCACATCAGCTCATGTGGTCACAGAGGCAAAAACTTGGGTCTGGGAGGAGTTTTGGGAGGCCATGGAGGAGGACTATTGGTTGGTCTCGAAGAAATTCTGGCAAACCATCCGACGCCTCAGGAGGGGAAAGTAGCTCTCCACCAACACTGTCTACAGTGCGAGTGGGGACCTCCTGACCTTGACTGAGGAGGTCGTTGGGCAGTGGAAGGAACACTTCAAGAGTCTCCTCATCAATACCACCGTCACGTCTTCCAAAGAGGAAGCAGAGACTGTGGACTCGGAGGCGGACTCGTCCATCACCCGGGCTGATGTCACCGAGGTGGTTAGAAAGCTCCTCGGTGGCGGGGCTCCGGGGGTGGATGAGATCCGTCCTGAATACCTTAAGTCTCTGGATGTTGTGGGACTGTCCTGGTTGACACATCTCTGCAACATCGCGTGGCGGTCGGGGACAGTTCCTCTGGATTGGCAGACCGGGGTGGTGGTCCCTCTGTTTAAGAAGGGGGGCCGGAGGGTGTTTTCCAACTACAGAGGGATCACACTCCTCAGCCTCCCCGGTGAGGTCTATTTCAGGGTACTGGAGAGGAGGATCCGACCGATAGTCGAACCTCTGATTCAGGAGGAGCAGTCTGGTTTTCGTCCTAGTTGCAGCACACTGGACCAGCTCTATACCCTCCATCGGGTGCTCGAAGGCACATGGGAGTTTCCCCAACCAGTCCACATGTCTTTTGTGGATCTGGAGAAGGCATTCGACTGTGTTCCTCGTGACGTCCTGTGGGAGGTGCTTCGGGAGTATAGGGTCCGGGGCCCTCTGTTAAGGGCTGTCCGTTCCCTGTACGACCGCAGCAGGAGCATGGTTCACATTGCCGGTAGTAAGTCAGACCTGTTCCCAGTGCACGTTGGCCTGCCCTTTGTCACCGGTTCTGTTTATTATTTTTATGGACAGAATTTCTCGGTGCAGCCAGGGGGAGGAAGGGGTTCAGTTTGGGAACCACAGAATCTCATCTCTGCTGTTTGCAGATGATGTTGTTCTGTTGGCTTCATCAAATCAGGACCTCCAGCGTGCACAGGGGCAGTTTGCAGCCAAGTGTGAGGCGAATGGGATGAGGATCAGCACCTCCAAATCCAAGGCCATGGTTCTCGACCGGAAAAAGGTGGCTTGCCCTCTCCAGGTCGGTGGAGAGTCCTTGCCTCAAGTGGAGGAGTTCAAGTATCTCGGGGTCTTGTTCACAAGTGAGGGGCGGATGGAACGTGAGATTGAGATTGACAGACGGATCGGTGTCGCTGTACCGGACCATCGTGGTGAAGAGAGAGCTGAGCAAGGGGGCAAAGCTCTCGATTTACCGGTCAATCTACGTTCCTTCTCTCACCTATGGTCATGAGATCTGGGCAATGACCGAAAGAACAAGATTGCGGATACAAGGTGCCGAAATGAGTTTCCTCTGCAGGGTGGCTGGGCGCTCCCTTAGAGATAGGGTGAGGAGTTCAGTCACGCAGGAGGAGCTTGGAGTAGAGCTGCTGCTCCTCCAAGTCGAAAGGAGCCAGCTGAGGTGGCTCGGGCATCTTTTCGGATGCCTACTGGATGCCTCCCTGGGAAGGTGTTCCGGGCCCATCTCATCGGGAGGAGGC